TTGCTAAATGATAACCAAATCATTCAGCTTTTTAAAAGATCATTTTTATTTACATAATATACTATGACCTACCCACATATATTTTTAACCAAATTCATTTCTATTATTAACTCTTCTTTTTGAAACTTTATTTACAGTTTGGGTTCTATGGGGTCAGAATTAAAGTGATTTGCTGAAGAATGTGTTTGAACAGAATGTATAAAGTACACAACTTTCAAACTGCTGATATTCACAAATGTAGGCATTGTAGGTTTACAGTTAGGGTAACTTATACATTGCTTCAGATCACTGTTTCAGATCACTGTGATATGTGATTTTTATTCCAATATATGATTTTTTAAAAAAAATAAAATTAAACAAGGAAATGTAATTTGCTCAGGACAATGAGCAGGGGAAAAAAGCATCTTTGTGTGTGTGTGTGTGTGTTTGTGTGTGTGTGTGTGTGTGTGTGTGTATGTATGTATATGTATATGCAAAACAGTCAGGTCTATGGTATCCCAGAACTTGTGATGTAGTTACTAGTGAATCAAAGTTCTGTCTTTTTTTTTAATGTAACTCTGTCATTACTTATTTTAATGGACAGATGGAAGGTGTATTATGAAATTTGTAAATGCTAATAAAAGTGTTAAAAAGTTACGCTACTAGAATATAGAAAAAATAGTATTTTGAGAAAGCTGGAAGAATGGGTTGAGAGTAATAGAATGAATTGTAAAAGAATAAAGTGAAAGGTTTTCACTGAGAGAACAAAAATCAGATGGCCCAGAGACCTGGTGGTGATACTGGATTTGGTAATGGCATGGTATTTGTAAAAAAATATTTTGAAATAGTAGTTGATGAGCAAGCAGAACAGAATGCTTTCAAAGAACAGAAATGCAATAATTTCTAAATCAGGGAAAGCTATCATTTCACTCTATTCTGTTTCGGTCAAAGCCCATCTTAACTATCATTTCACTCTATTCTGTTTTGGTCAAAGCCCATCTTAACTATTATGCTCAGCTGTGGGAGGCCCAATCACAAAATTTTCAGAAAAGCTGGAACTTATTCAGAAAAATAGCAATAAAATGATGAGGGGAATCTCTGGAGCTTTGAGAAGATAACTGATAGGAAATATGATAGCTCTTTTCAAATATCTGAAAATGGTTCTGGCAGATGTATTATTTTTATCCATCTGCAGACTTAAAGAATCCAAGTAAGAGATTTTATGTATGTTTGTTTTTGTTTTATTGGTAGTCAGCCTCGTTTGCAGCTTATGTTATACAAATACTCCTTAAATTATCTGCAAGCTAGTATGTTCATCATTTGTGGCAAAGAGACAGGTTAGGCAGCTAGAATATTCTCCCTTACCCCCACCCTAGATTCACAGAGAGCAATGTTGGTAATTAGGGTTGCTGAAAAGTTGAAGATTAATGACAAAAATGGGGGGGAGGATCAACCAACACCAGAAGAATGTGTGATGGATGTAAACATTCCCAGGAAGAGGAGGAAAGAGAGTTGGGCTAGAAAAGAAATCTGAGCATGGTGGAAGAAGTATACCATAGAACAAGACAACACTGAACCAAAAGCCATACCAAATGGTAGAGTTAAAACCTTTTCAAGAGGTCACTTAGGAAATAATCTTGGAAAATAATCATAATTATTTAATAATCATAAACAATAATAATAAAATTAAAATTAACAAGTTATCCATTTTAAATATTTAAATGTTTCAAGCACCTAGAAACCCACCCACCCCCAAAAAAATCTATGGAGAGTCATCCATGTCATGATTGTCCCAAAGGTGTTTTTTCAAACTGGACTTTCTTTGTTTTGTTTGAAGATGTTTCTCTTCTCATCCAAGAAGCTTTTTTAATTATGAACAGAAGAAGCTTCTTGGAAGAGAAGGGAAATGTCTTCAAGGAAAACAAAGTCCAGTTGCCTTTTGAAAAAGCAATTTTGGAAGTATCTTAGAAAAACTTTATTAAATGTATATGCATCTAACATTGGCAAATGTATTATGCTGTGCGTATGAATACCTATTCTGGGGGGGGGGGAATGAAACAAGTCCCATTAATTCATAGATGGAATGAGCATCCCTTGAATTCTTTAATATAATCTATGTGCTGGTGGTCTGTGTTAATTGAATCCTGGATCACTCTGCTGCAAGGAATCTGCAGATAGTTAGTAACATTTGGTAGGACAATCAAGATTTTTCTCTATCAAGGTCACAAAAAGGCTATGTAGAGAGAAAAGCCAGCATGAGTTCTGTAATGCGTGTGGAGTGATTTTCTTCATCATCAGCCATCCCAACTCTTCCAAAGGAAAAGAAAACCATCTGTCATGTATAGAATATAGATTCTTTTGAAGAATATAGAATTAAATATTTTTCTTCACATCAGACCATTCCAATCAATAAGCATTTTGGCTGAACAAAACAGATTTCTAGGTGTCTCATGCATTATCTTATTTTTCTCCTCTTCAACTCTTGCATGATTTAAAAAATAATAATGAGAAACATTCTCTCATTCATAGTTAATATTAATTAACAGTTAATACTACTAATCTATTGCTAGTTAATTTCTATTTATATATTGTGAAAAAATGTTTTTGATCATGCATAAATTTTATGTGACTTCAATTTTAAATCTATAAGGTTAACATTTTTCAGATTTTGATTTACTTGTTTGGTATATGACTATCAATTATGTACATTAATAGAGATCACAACTCTTTATTGATTTTTTGTATAATGCCTGACAAAAGATAGCAAAAGTAGTTGAGACTCTAACTCAGATATTATTGCAAGTAAGCAAAAAAGCATAGAAAAATCAAAGGATATAAATCATTATGCCTATTAAAACTGAAGTCAGTAGCACTGAAGCCTACATCTGTCCTGTAAAGAATCCCAACTTGAAAGACTGGGGAAGAATATATGAAATCTCAAATTTATATTATAATATTGTAAAAAGCTCTTCTGGCAATATATTCAAAGGAAGTGAACAAGGAAGATAGAGAATAAGACTAAGCAATTCTTCATAGATTTTTTTCCAGATTTTAAATAATAGCAGCATCCAGTTCTTTCCATATGTGTCTGTGTGAATAACTTCTTTGCTTTGTTGAAATAAAAACAATGTAAAATAATTCTGCATGCCAACACATACAAAAACAGCCAGAAACAGATGCTGAAGCAGCCACATAATCCTGGTTAATTATTACCGTAAGTATACTTCAGAAAATTTCCACACGTCTTCTGCATAACAAATGAAAGCAGACAGGCAAGCAAAGATATAGTGCAAAATACTAAATTTTGCTGCCCAGAGGAAATTAAGCTAGTAATTTCTGGCTAACCTCACACTATATCAGCAAAAAGTCAAAAGAAGATGAGGATGAGTACGATTAGACTATATCCAAATTGAACCTGGACTGAAAATGGTCCAGAGTGCTAACTAAAAGTTGCCTAGACTGAGGGCAATCACAAGTAAATTCTAATGAAATTAATGACAGCTCAAAAAGAATGAATGACTAAACAAATACATCCATCAGTCAATCTCTGCTTTCTGAAGTTTGGAGATTTGCGAAGATTTAGGCATCTTAATGTAAGCTTGGTGTAATATTTTCTACTTTGACTACTTTTGTAAGAATATAATCTTTTAGCACTTCAAAAAATAAACTTGCATTAGCCATTATTATCACAATTCACTTTTTCACAACTGCTTTTCAAATCTGTCTCAGATTCAGATGGGGTAGCACACTCACCTGCATCCAATAATCCACAATCTATTTTTTACTCTAATTCTAGAATTAATGTTGTTAAGAGGGTTGTAAATAAACAATTCTATCTAGAATTTAATAATAATGTTTGCCTAGAGAAAAATTATTTATGTCTTTCCAAGGCTGGACTGAGTTAAAAAACTGGGCTCTAGCTAGAAAGGGCATGGCCAAGACTTTTTTTAACTCAGTCTCAAGGGTAGTGGGCAAAAGTTAAACCCATGCTTGGATTCTCCAAGAGGTGCACATAGAAGGTACGTTCAGGTAAGCCAATGGTCTTTTAAAATGTCATAATAAATCTTGCATTAAAAATGTTTGTTCATTGCAAAATAAACAAAGTTATGTTGTCCTGCCTCTAGCTACTGAATGCTGTTGAAATTTAATTTACACTTCATGTCTAGGATTTTATTTTTGTTGTTTTATTTATTCATGAAAATGTGTCCTTTTTTCATTTCAAAGACCTCATCTAAATTTTGTAAGTAGCATAATTAATTTACAGGCAAAGATGTTAATACTGTATAATTACATTTCATTAAATGTCATTATGTGTAAGGCACAACCAACTAGAGCCACACGTGAGTAGCTGAAATCAGTAACTTTATATTCTACCAGTAATGTTACAAGAATCTCACCAAACTACTTCCCTTCCCCTGGAAATAACAAAATAAATCTTCATGGCTCTTGGAAAAGATCAAGCTTATCTCACTAGATGCTGTGCAACAACTCCAAGTTAGGTCCTCGCTTGACCTCTCCTTTCAGCCTAGCTGGCAGTTTTCCAATATCATGCTTAATATCAGACAGCTATTTTAAACAAAACACATCGAACTGAAAATATTTTACACACTGTTTCATGCATTAATATTGCTTCATGTAGAAGGAGGGGTCTTATACAAAGATTAGTGTTTCTTTTCTTTTCTTTTTTACAAAAACTGTTAGTAAGTTGCATATCGTTCTCGCCAACTCTGGAAAATCTCTTTATAATATTCATTTATATCTGGATGCCCCCCAAATTGTTCAAAAATTCTGATGTTAAAAAAGGCTATAATTAGTAAATTGTATAATGATGATTTAGGCTTTTGTGATAAATATTGATTAGCATGTAAAACACAATAAAGAGTTATCTGTTTATTCCACCAGTCACAAACAAAGTTTATGGAAAGCCTTAATGATTTATAAAGGAGTTTAAAAGCATATTAACCTCTGTTAAAAGTAAAAGTAGACGTAACTGCTAGATAACATATTAAAATTTAACTTACCTGTAATAATATTGGGCTTTGGTGGCATGATGAACTCATATAAAGTTGGTTCAGAATATCCCAGTCTGTTTATAGCAGTAATTTGCACTTCATAGCCCATTGTCCACTGCAAATGCTCAAGAATAATGAAGTCTTTATTACCATGAACCTTTTTTTCTTGCCATTGCTCTTCCTTATCTTTCTGTAAAGTTTGAATAGTAGTTGAAATTATGGTGAACTAATATTTATAATGAATATTTTTAATATTGATTTGCAATTATTTCAAATCAGGCACTATGATTATTTTCCTCTTGTGCACAGAGAATCATCTAATCTTAAATCTTTATAAACTGTATTTAGAATTAGGTTATGAAAACCCGGACTCTTTTTACTTAAACATTTAATCTTGGAACAAAATGCATATTCTCTGGCAACAAAGATGTACTTTCACTGAAATAGCAATATTCCTGTTTCAAATATCAACTTATTTATATACACAGCCAAACAACTTTGTAGGTCTCATCTTTAATTTATTACAAGGTGCGTGAGCCACTGGTTTATATTATATTGCATATTATAATGAACACATGTAAGGATTATAGGGATAAACAATGTAAAATGTTTAATATAATGCAAATCTCAATTTTTGGTCTTCACATTAAATATATGTCAGATCATATTACTAGGATACCTTGGCAGTTAACAAATTATTAGGTTTGATAGCCTATATCCAATAGGTCTCAAAGAATTCAAATGTGAAAATGCTAATAGACTAGCTAAAATAATATAATATAATAATAATATATATATATATATAAAATATATAAAAATATTCCAAAGGTTGATATGGTATGATTTTATGCTACATTATATTATAGTTGTTTTCTCTCATGCTCTACCAGAATCAATAAACCAATCAATATACCTCATCTGTGCATGAACTAAAATAGTTACATAAAACAATATTATTCAATTGTTAAGCAAATGGTAATAGTAAACAATAATCTGCAAATGTTGACTATAACTTATTTTATTAATAAAAAATGAAGTTTCAGTAAAAAAAAAGTTATACCTGATAATGATAATAAATATACAAACATATATTTCAAGCAAAGAAATATGCAAACATAAGCACACACACAGAAATATTTTTTATCAATAAGTAGAAAGCCAAAATTATAACACTGTCTTGATTTATAGAATGAAAATATGTGATTTTTATTTCATAACACTTAATTTTTTCCACTATCCAAAAATAGTATATATGGGAAGGAAGAATTTAATTCATATGAAAGGTCAGATCTAGAAAGTAGCAAAATATGGTGCACAGATGTCAGAAAGCACAACAATTTCTGGTAAACAATTGTGCTTTAGGTTTATTATCATGTACATACATTAATTGAAAACACTTTATATCATATCCTTAATTCACTTTCTTATAGTATTATTTGATCTTTGATTGCACAAACATGTGCAATAAAAGGTGAGAGGTATATATGGTACATATACAAGAAGATAAATTCTCAGCCACTATTTCAGAGGTTGCAAAATATTTACATTGCTCATATATAAATCCTGTTACTTTGAAATATCATATCTTCTGGTAATAATTACTAAACACTATAAGAAACTATGATGCCCATATATTACCACTGTGATGCTATATTTGTGAATCCTATTTCCATGTCTGAAACTTCCAACATTGATGTAAAACTCCCATTATCATTATCATCACCTTCAAATACAGAAAGTACAAATATGTATTTTCTAACTAATGAAAAGGACAGACACGGAATATCATCCAATTTACTGTCCCATCCTTAGGCTACTTTTGGTTGGATGTTGGTGATATTTAAAAATCCAATTTAAGGTACACATTTTGCACCTTAAATTGTGTCTTTAGGGCAATTGATAACTAGATCTTTTAGTACAGGCATAGTAATTCCTGAATCTTGCCCCCATTACATGGCCAATTACAACCTTTTGCTTCACTTGAAATTTTAAGATACCAGAATGAAGAGCAGACTTTCATCACAGGGATATAATAATATAGCTGGGGCATAAATGAAAGAAATGCAAGCAAATTTTTGCATTCAAAGCTGACTCAGTTAGCTATGGAAGCCATTCATTGCCAGGGCTAATTCCTGAAAGCAAATTCAGATAACAAATCTACTTAAAGAGCACTTCTAAGCTGGGATCCTGATCTTTTGGGAATGTTCTCAGTGCCAATTGCTTGACACAGTTGGCAGTAAAACTGCCATAGGGCCTCTGGCTCATTTTAGGAAGGGGGAGGAGGAGGAATTGACTATAAATCACTAGAAAGCAAATGGCAGTTATCCTAAAATAGCAATACAACCCATAATTAGAGGACAGATAATTATAAAAATAAACAAACTAAGCATTCTAAATATTTAGATGTTTCAAGTATATAGAATCAAAAAAGGTAATGCAGCTTATGCTTCCCTTATGGCCTATGACAGTGTAGTTGCCATTTTAAAATTTCACTGAAACAAGGGAGGATACTTTATTCCGGATGCTGCATAGCTATTATACAGGTGGGATATGATTCCATGAAATTTCCAATGAAAAAAAAAAGTGCAATATGGCTTTCTGTTATACATGTTTATTGCCCTCAGGAAGCCAGTGCAGATTTAAGATTGTAGACAGGATTACCCATAATATAGGTCACAATTTAGAAATCACATGGCTAAATGACTGCAGTCTTATATTGCAAATATTTTTTACTTTCTTATTTACCTCATGTGGGTATGAGTCCTTTCCTAATCTTGCTTTAACACTCTCATGTTAGCCATACTGAAGGGCAAAATTGACAAAAATTCAGAGATGACATTCAGAGGCAATGCTCATGTGGATTAGGTAGAGTTGAATCCAGGCAATATGGGTTTTCATTGAAGTTTTATACATTTGTGCATTATATTATAATTTAAGATTAAATTAGTCACTATTTAAATGATTCAAGTGGGACTGAATAATTTTATTGCAGTTACTCATAGCATTTCCATTACAAAATGCTGTTACTTCAAAATACAGTTTCAGAACAAAATGACTAATTGAAGCAGTAACTGCGCTTATTGGGAGTTGAGTGGCATAAATAAGTAATGAATCATTACATTTGTGTGTGCAGTCAGTCAGATGTTTAGACTGGATTGGGCATTTTTGTCCACATATCAAGTCTTTTCCCAGGACCTGGAATAGGCATATATTCTAAAAATAAAGGTATCATCGAAGGATGTTAGCCATTTCAAGTAAAACTGCAAATGACTGTTGATGATTATGTCAATGCTAATACTGTTTAATTGATCTCCTGATGTGCCTATGACTCTTGGTATTACCTTTGCTTTCTTTTGCCACAATTTTTCTATTTCTACTTGCAGGTCTTTGTATTTTGTGATTTTCTCCAGTTCTTTCTCTTCTAATCTACTGTGCCCAGATATTCCAATGTCAACCATCTAGAATTTTTTTGTCTTCCATATTAACAATGGTTAAATTAGAGATCAGTGTGGTAGATTATTGTCTGCTTGAATTCTAAAGTCCTAGAGCACTTTAGCTCCTTCATTTTCTATTGATTTCTCTATTTTGTGGGCTTACCAGCTTTTGCCTGCAGACAAGTGGTATTTCTCGCTGATATTCCAAAGTACCATTCTTGCTGATTTGTCATGCTGTTGTTGTACAAACTTTTTTCAGCAGGTAACTAGATGGCCCATTGTTTAATCAGCTTTTTGCAGAGATGGCATTTGCCGTTAATTGCTGTCTTCTCATTTCTAGCTTAGTATGCATTTGTTCTGAAAACTTGGTCTTCCTCAGGCCCTTAGTCTCTTTCTTCAACGTTCCTGTTCTTATTCATTTCCAGGCCTTGCGGTTATAGACTTTGCTTGCTAACTTTTTTGTGTACTGGCCATATAGCACTTTGCTTTGCCATGTCTTTTTTCTGTGCTAAATTTTATATTTCTTTTTAGGTCAATTTGATCTCTTTGGAATTCAGTAAGCTTTCAGTGTATCTTCTTGCTGTCTCTCAGGTATTCTTTCCCTTTTCTCCATCATTCCTGCTGTTGTTGCAAGTTCTTTCATTTCAGTTTTTTTATTCCTTCTCCATGTCCATTATCCAAGTTGCATTCTTCCTTATTTCTTTTAATTGCCCCATAGCTGTACCCAAAAAGAGCTGCACAGTTTCTTCTATGTCAGAAGTTGGCTGGTTCATTGACATTTCTGTTAATGGAGTGATATGTTTGTGATTTCACTGAAGTTGTAGAATCTGCCTGTAGTGTACAATTCAAGCTTCATGTTTGATGATTTTACTTATTTATAATTTCCAGTGATTTTTTGATCTTCCTTGTCTCTAGGTTATTTTTCTTGATTAAGTATGTTTTTGTCTTTTTCTCCCAGCTTTTTTTTGTCCTGATCATGCTGTCATATCCTGTCATGATCAGCCAAATATAGGAGAAAACACTAAAGATTGGTTGATTGCCAGAGGCAGCTTCTGAGCTGGAATCTCTACAAATTAGGACCCTTTATCTATAAAGTCTGGATTGAACTCCCCCCCCAAAAAATAGCCTTTTCTCTACCATTCACTAGATCAATATTTTTGCATGACCATGCTCCATGCTTCCCATCTTCCCCATCTTTTTTTACACAACTTCAATCATGAATGCTACTAGTTGGCATCAAAGAGATACATAAAACCCAATGCCATCTAATTCATGTTTGGATTTTTGCAATTCAATTCTGGAGGTCTATATAGAATGAGGAAAATGATTTTTTATGCAGATATGTAGGAACCATTTTGCAGATAGAAGGATCTGAAGAAATTTTAAATTAAGTGTGAGATAACATTAAGAAGCTTCTCAGAGAGACACTTCTGAAATTAAGCTATAAAAAGGGGAAGATGTATAGCAATCAAGACTTGCAAGATTCAATATTACTAAGGCTAATCTCAATAAAAATAACTTTAGCTTTCCTGTGGAGTTGATTTCTTGGTGTGGACCATGTAATGGGGGATATTCTGCCCTAGAAAAAGGTTAAAATGTTATTTATGTCACCGCTTCAAAAACCACTGCAGCACAAAGGACAAAGGACTATGTAAAGAGTGAATTCACCTGAACAGAACATCAGCAGTTCTGATCTTGCTAATAAAGATGACTGTTTCAGATTGTCTCTAAATTGACATTGATATTAGTAGAACTAAGTCCCACCCTATATATAATGAGGGTTTTGAAAAAGAATTCTTAGTCTTTAATACTCTTGACCAAAGTTCTGGCCACTAAGTAACCTGGCCACTATGTTGGTAACATAAATGTGATCAACTTATATTCCAAGTAATGATATTATGGACTACAAGATTGATTAAGGCCATACCATTCCACCTTTAAAGTGGGAATGAATGGAAAAGAAAAATTCTCAGATAACTCAAAAGGATATTGAAGCATAAGGCTGGAAGAGACCTTGGATGCCTTCTAATCCAATCCCTGTGCACATTAGGAGTTTCTATATCAACCAGATGAATAGTTGTCCAAACTTTTCTTGTAAACCTCTAAAATGGAGCATCTGCTACTCTTGGAGGCAAGCTGTTCCACTGATTAATTATTCTCGCTGTCAGGAAATTCCTTCTTATTTTTTAAATATTATTACTATTAAGATTAAAAACAGCAGCCTAACATTTAATTCAAATTCTCTAGAATTTGCTATTCTCTGCTATTCAAATTCAGATAGAAAAAACTGAAAATATTAGGCTCCATAATATTTGGGCACTATCTATGGACAGATGAGGAAGTCCAAGGAAGATTCACCAGATTTAACTAGACTAAAGTTTTAGAGGAAAGCAAAGACCTAAGGTCCTTATCTAATAACACAAATTACTTAACTATTATAGTTCAATATCTAAATTATTAATAGGAAGGCACTGGGTTCCTAAAGAAAAATAATTCCTTCCTGAATGGAATCACCCAGCAGTATAGTGTTAACAGAGCAGAAAAAGAATGTGATATTGCCAATATGGCACTCTAAATTCCTCTATCTTTGTTCATAAGTCATAAATTAAAATGAATAAAGTTGAAAGACATAGATAAATCAATTGGGTAGTAGGCTTACCAATTCTGGATGTGAAAACCACAGAAGAGCTGAACCTGATTATTGGTTTTGGTTACAAACAAGGCCACAAGTTTTCAAATTTGAGAATTGTTATAACTTTCTAATGAATGTTCTGATAAATTGATCACTAGACAAATTAAAATCTCATGCTTTTATGCAAAAATGAAATTTTATCTAATGAAAGCCCTCCTCTGTCTCATCTCTAGAAGATATGTGTTGTGTCCAGATTTCTTCATTAAGATAAATTTGTAGATCTTTAGATTTCATCTGGACATACTGTACTTCCTTTCATTGTACTGTATTTTCTTGTCATAAAATGCAGAAGGTCCTGAAAACTTAAGGTTTGTTGGCTCTCTGCTCAGCTCCACTCTCATTCAGCCATGTCTTTATTAATCATTTTTTTAACTAATATACCATCTTTGGTTATGATAATTGTGTATATTCTGTAATAGTATTTTCTTCTATTAGCTTAGTTCTACAAACATAGCTAGAATGCATCAAGACATGTTATTTATGTATAATTATTAATATAATACTTACACTTCTATATTTTACAATATATTCTAAAATAGGTGCTCCTCCATCATCTTGTTTTGTTATGCTAAGTTTAAAGCTTTTTCCACTACCTGGTTGTCCATGAATTGATGGAGGACTTGGTTCACCTAAAATAAATCAAAATAAGATATGCATTTATAGACATTATTTAGAGATGGGAGTTGTTCACAGTCAGTTTCCTTAAATCATATTTGTTTGGTAATATTGAAATAATATCCTAATATACAAATATATTCAGAATACACCATATTAAAAATATAGTTTCTTAGCCACAATCCATTTCATAAACAACAGTGCTGGTAAAGATGATTGATCGATCAATCAATTGATAGATTGATAGACCGAAAGATAAATAATTTTCTTTACAGCAGAAAGTACACACTGTAGAAGGAAAGTAGCAGAAGTATAAAAATATGAACTCTGTACTTTGAAAGTGAGAGAAACTGAAGAAAAATTGAAGAAAAAATGGGAAAAAAATGAAAGAACAACAAAACCATTAATGTAATTATGTGCTCCTACATAGAATGAATGTTTATTGATCTATGTGGGGAAAAACATTCACTGTAGATCAATGCACTAATGATACCAAATTTTATCTTTAATTGTAGATGTTATTGCTGATGTATCTATGAGGAAGCAGAGGTAAGGATTGAATAAATCATGCCCAAGAATTTCTTTATGAAAAATGTAATTTCTATTGTGTCATAATCCTGCAATAAGAAAATAATACTATTATGATACAACAGTCTACTAAGTTGTTCATATTTTCTTTAATATAATTTTGAAAATTGGATCAATTTACTGCTCCCTTAAAAACTTGAACTTATATTTTGTATCAATATTTCACAACTACCTTAATAAAAGATAGAAAGTTAACTTTCAAAATATAATGACCTGAAATTTGGGGTTTATATTATAATAGAAAATCTATAAATGCTGATGTTATAAGCAGACATCCTGCCTTTACAATTGCCCGTTTTTGAAAAAAATAGGTCATATCCTCACAGAGCAAAGCTAATATTAAGCTGACTACAAAAAGGCAGTTGTGGCTAAAAGGGCCTTTTCACAACTTTATGTTGTGCATCAGTTGTACCCTTTCCTGGATTATGAGGCCCTGAGTGCAGTCACTCATGTCTTAATTATCTCAGCTGGGTTACTGCAATGAGTTCTATATAAATCTATCCTTGAAAATATTTGAACGCTACAATAAATTCACTTTAATAAAAAAGACTATCTCAGCTAACTGAATTTCTGTCTCTCGTATCACAAAATGTGATTAAAGATGTGTTAATAGGCAAAGAGCCTATTTCTTATTTACACATTTTTATTTTAAAAAACAGAAAAATAAAGAAATCAACAAGAGACAAAACAGACATTACAAACATACATTATCAAAATTTCATAATAGGCCCTTAAAATAAGTGAAAAATGCAAAAGAAGAAAATATAGAATATAATATGTTGCTACAGCAGTAAACAGTTACAAATATGTATAAATTGTTTAATACAAACATAAATGTTTAAATAATGTGTTTATAAATAATGTGTTTATACAGCTACTATGTTTTTTGACTTACAGTATTTTGCATACATTACTCATTATTTCATTGTAGTATTTTTCAATATAAATTTCATTATGTTTATCCATACAAAGTCTACATCTATAGTATAGAACAGGGATGTCAAGCTCAAGGCCTGGGGGCTGGATCCGGCCAACAAGATGCTTAGATCTGGCCCATGGGGCTGCTCTGGAAACAGCAAAAGCCCGGCCCACAGTACCTCTGCCAGTGAAAACAGAGCTCGGGAGAGCTGTGTGCAGCCCTCCCAAGCTCTGTGCAGCCCTCCCAAGCTCTGTTTCAATTGGCAGAGTTTGGGTTGCAGGAAGCCATTGCAACCAAAAATGGTGTTCAAGAAGGCCGCGGGCAGCCTCCCAAGCTCCTTTTTTGCTGGCAGAGGGTTTCAGGAGGCCAGAAGGCTGTTTTCACTGGCATAGTGCTTGGGCCACTATAGGCACTCCCAACACAAGTGGCATCAAGCTGGCCACAGCCACCCTGGCCACAGCCACCCAGCCCCCAAGGTCGAACACAACCCTAATGTGTTTGACACGCCTGCTACTGGCAATCCAAGCACAATTACACAGCAAGTGTAATCAGGTATTTAATCCACTGAGTAAAAGTGGTCATATATATTTACCTTTCCAACATTGCAATATCAATCTCTTAGCTATAATAAGGGCATGGAGAATCCATTTATGTTGTGCAGATGTTAAATTCCATCACTTGTGTAATTCAAAATAACATTATCCTCTGAAAAGTTTAACTTTTATTGAACAATCACATTTATTTAGTCCACTACTTCCTCCCAATATGTAGTAAATTTAAAATATTGTAAACTCATGTTTTTTAAAGAAGCATTGTCCTTATTACACCTTCAACAAAATCCTAGACAATCTTTACTTATACAGATTAGAATCTATATATTACAGATGTCATGGAATGCAAAAAATTCTGAATATTATTTTTATGATATTCTATGAGTCATAATCAAACATTCCTTCTATAAAAGTAAAATTACTCTCCTATTGTTTAAGCAGTATAGGAGCTGTTAATTCTTTATTCCATCAACTCTTAAAAGCTGCATTTCAAATGTATTGATAGCAAAAATCTAACAGAGGGTTTTTTTTTAGTTTTAAAAGTTTAACATATTTATCCAGTATCTTGGATGTTTCGAGAACTGAAAATGGAGCTGATCTAAATAATCTGGTTAACACATATTGCAGCTGTACATATTGTCAGTTATGACTTCTCCATAAATTCAATTTAATATAGGAAAAAAGTTTGAATCCTTATTTTGGCAAAGAATCTATTTTTTTAAATAAAATCTATTGTCCAGAAACTTTACTCTGCAAGAGTGTGTGTTGTGTGTGTGTGTGTGTGTGTGTGTGTGTGTGTGTGTGTATCTGTATGCATGCACATATATATTAATAATTGAAGTACATATAAAATGTTTTAAGAAACTAGCCATGTAATTTAAATAAATCCATCACTTAGATTCAATTGATTCCTATGTAATTAAAGCAGTAATTTATTCAATCTTGTACTTTCTACAGTCAATTTTTTAAAAAAAATCAGCACCAATATTTGGAACTGAATTGTGAAATCCAGAATTACTTTCAGAACAGCAACAATTCAGTTACTTCGTGTATCCTATTTATGCAGAATTATCAGACAGTCATAAACAAATTCAGGAATATCATTAAGTTGTGTCAAATTTTACTTGTGATACATAAAGGCACATGCCATATGAAATCTAAAAAAAAACACCAATAACTTTATTTTAATCAATGTGATTTAAAGTACCTTAATTTACCCGTAGGGCGAAACAATAAATTACTTACGAACTGGTAAAGTCTGAAATATCTCAATTTTACTATATTCTCCTTGCCCTTTTCCATTTACAGCAGCAACTTTTATTTCGTATGTTGTATTTGGTTCCAGATTACTGAGAATAACCATAGCTAAGAGAAAATGAAAAAAAAAGCTTTATTTTAAAAAAAGAACATTTTATGTGAAAAGGGACACATTTGGTTATTTCACAAGATTAACATCAAGAATAGATACACTTGATTAACATCAAGACTAGATAATTTTATTTTGGAAGAAAAAATAGTAATCCATAAAGTGTGTTGTGTGCACAAGAAGGTGTAAATAATGTATCCAGTTGTAACTACAAGCTATTTAAGAAATATAAAGTGTAAACATATTGTTATCCATTTCCTTAGTTAATGCACATATAAGTGACAGGAAACCCATAATACTCCACAAATATTCAATACCTAAGTAAATATGATTGTGCTATTTATGACTACATTAATAAGAAACTATGAATGAATTAATATGCTTGGTTTGAAATGAGTAACTTTCATGGCTGTTCAAATCTTGAGAAGGGACAGAGAGATCTAGATAGCAATTTACTCTGCTCCCCATTTACTCTGCCTATTCTTTGTCTATGAGATTGATAAACTCGGGGTTTTCATTTTGTGTTTGTCTGCAGATACATATACATGGAGCTCTTTGACTGTCATCCTAGTAGGATGGATGTAGCACAGGATCTGAGATGTTGCATAGGAAGCAGTTCATTAGCTGCTAAGCTTCCCTTCTCCTATTGTACATTTCATTCAATAATTTATTTCTTCACTGCTTTTGCTGAGGCTCAGTTCCCAATATCAGGTATGCTCATAGGTTTACAAATGGTTTGCCCCCATGAAAGTACAATGGGATGATAAAAGAAAAGAAAGATAGAAAGTAGTTAAGCTTGTATAACAACCTGCTTATCACACTCATGACTTACTAGGTTTATCTAATCACTATACTTTGAGAAAGAGATGCTGAAAAAATTATTACAGTATTGTTCTAAACTTAGATCAATTTTTCTTTCCATTTCTCTGTCCAAGAAATCTTTTTTTAAAAAAGTAAAAATTGTGGGACCTGAGAGAACATAACATTGGAAAGTTTGACTGGAAATATAGCATAAATTAACTCTGCCACTGTTTACATCTACTACTATCAACCTAGGACATACTACATTTTTCTTTGATTCTATTGGCACCTGACTGGAATAAGAACAACAGATATTTATGTTTTGTAATGTGCTTGCAGCTGCACATATATTCTACTAAAATATTTCATGTGTCTTATGCAAAGTCATGTATAATTTATATTCTATTTCTGTCAAAATAACAAATAAATAACTACTAAGGGAAAAGGAAGAAACAAGTCCTCTGGTAGTGAGAGTACAAAAGCAGATATTTATTTAAAAAATGCAGATTTGTAAACAGGAATGACTCAAAAAGCATACCATTTTTACAGATATTTCTCACAAAAATTATATATGTCTAAGAGCTATTTTTCTGGAAATCATCATATTAAAAGAGACGGGGGGATAACTGTCCACAATTTTTACCTGGTGGTCAAAAGGTTATCAATGTTCTTCCAGAGATAAAAATATATAATAATAAGTGTTACATAGTCCTCGCACTTACGAATGACAGCTCGGCAGCAGCCAGGCGCGTCTTAGCCAATCAGACGCGCCTGTCAGTTGCCGAGCTGTCAAGCGCGAGTCAGCCGGGTATAAAAGGCAGCACAACTCCAACGGCTATCCGATCTACCACATAACTGCGGAAGCTATCCGGTCTACTTTACTTACTAACCGATCTACCGTGCACAGCTACAAGCCTGTCCGGTCTACTGCATTTGTTACTGTTACAACGTTCTTGTTATTAAAACGGTTACTGTTACCTTCGAGCCTCTGTCCTTCCTTATTGAAGATCTAATAATAAGCAATGAATAATAACTTCTGAAACTACTACTGAATTTCAACAAGCAAAGAAAAATTATTCATTTACAATATTAGTAAAAATGCTTTTAGTTATTACTGAATAAAAGATATTCAACATGTGTATTTAATTGATTACCCAAAAATTGGTTTCTAAACAAAGACTGCTTATTTTTCAGTAAAATGTAGAGGAATAGTTCTTAATTATAACTTTAACATTATCCAGCAGGCCATCCCAATGCTAAGGGAGCTGTTGCTGCTGCATCAGGGCTGTTGTAGCTCTGAACTTCTAGGGAATCTGCTCGTCTTCTAACAAGCCTGAAAAGGTGTCCATCAGGAGTCTAACAGTATTATCTGTCAAAAAAATAATCAACCAGTCAACTATAATCTCTTTAATCTTATAGTGAATGGTACACTGTCATGTAAGGTTAGGAAAAGTGTTGAAAAGTAACTGAATATCTGAAGACTAAGAGGAAGAATTTCAGCATTTCCCAGTCATAAATTGAAAATCTAAAGAATTTGTCTGAATGCCAGATTTCCAGGAATTTCCTAGAATTTTTGATTTTGGCTTGGTCTAAAATGCTGATAGTTTTCCACCTGAAACTGTATTTGAGTCTGTTCAAGTATTGTGAGATTAAGGAATTTTTGTCATTCTTCTAAGTGGTGTTCCTGGATGTGTTATGATAAGTCTTCTGTCTAGCAGTCCTACATAGTCCTGTTGCAATCCTTGCATTGCAAGCTACAGATGATTCCTGGTCCTCCCACCCCCTTGGTCTTTTTTATTTTGTTTAAAATGTTTCATTGGTTTGTATGCTACAGTGTGCTCCTACATGATTATAGCAATCAATCATTTCTAAGATATTTTTGATGTATAGGAGTATATCCTTTTTTACAGATTGCATTGGTTGCACTGTAGTGGGTTGTGTAGTCAAGCATTTTTTTTGATAAAGTACAACTTTACAACATTATGTTGTAAGATGCTGTATAAGTGACATATTTCCTCTTGCTGTTGTTCCAATTTGCTTGTGCTCATCTGAATAGCATTCTTACATAGCACCTCTTCTGGAAGAATAAATAATTAGTTTGGAAGTGGAGCACTTGGTTAGCACGGATTGCTTTCCAATAGTCTTGGGTTTGTAGTTGCCATTGTTTCCTCTGCTGTTGAGGATATCCAGAAATGGGGAGTGTGCTGTTGTTTTCTTCTTGTCATTTTACACCTTCAAATATATTGTTTCATTGATCTTCTTGAGTTATTACTTTGCTATGACAAAGGTACTGTTTACATACCACATCCATACTTTTGATTGCATGTGTGGGAGTTATATAGCTTTTAGAAACTGTAACATGTCTCTGCTATCAATCTAGACATTGATGATCCCAGTCTCATTTATTACACTCTTATTGTAATAAATCACTCAATTTGATTTAACACATAGACTCATAAAAATCATTTTATCTCTGCAAGCTCTGGCACCAAATTTCAATATTCAAATACTGCTGCAATGGATGAAATATGAAAAAGGGTACAATATATTTATATTATCAATTTATATTAATTTGTCCATTTTACATAAATAAAATCTTAAAATCTTAGAAATTCCCAATATTTCTTGAATCAACTTTCTCAACCTCATTTTTTTAACACTGCATATTTCCATATGTAATTGATATGCTAGTTATGGTATATAATACCGTTCTTTCAGGGCAAAAGTCTGTTAACTTTATCCTCTTTTTCACATCCAGACATTGTGTGAAGTAAGAAGCATAAAGTTTTAGACAATTTTTTTAAATATTGTAGTCTCAGAAATTAAACTGGCATCTTCTAGAATGCCATTAACATTGAACTATTTTGAGAGACCTTCAAGGGACTGTTGTTTATTTGGTAGCTGGTTAAGCATGGTTGGTCTTTATTCCTATACCCTACTTATCATTGATTTTGTGTTATGTTTGTGTGTGTGTATATGTATGTAGTTGTTTATGGCTAACCTATTGATATAAGCTTCAGGGAGTCAGTAAATGTGATGATATATAAGATCATTTAATCAATGAATGAAGATCCTAATTGGTTTTCATAGGTCTGAGGATATGTTTTGAGAATGGGAGCTTTCTCTACTTGTGCTAAATCCTTATGAGTAATACAACACTGCAAAATCAATATTTTAAATGATGTATTCTAAATGGTGGCCTGCATTGGTTAAAATATTGGAATAGGATTGGGAGACTTTTTATCTACATCATAAATTGGGTACTTTGTCAGCTTCCCTTGTTAATATTATTCTATTTGTTTACACAGGACAAAAATACACTTGTCATCACTTGATTTAGTACCACTGCAAATAAGTACAAAAAAAGAAAGCCCAGTCAATATTCCAATATACATTTTTAAATTCTGCATTACATGAGATGGAATATATATTCACCTTTTTGTTTTGCGAAGTCATTTTGCGCATATGCAGTAACATTTCTTGGAACAGAGTCTAGCTAATTATTTCTAGGAGTTGAATGAAATAGTATATGTGAAGATAGAATTTAAAAATATTATCCGCAAATAAACCATAGTTAAATTCAATACTATACTACTTAAATAACATTTTCTTTCAAAGTAATATGAAAGCACATGTAACTATGAAGAATGTTCACATATAGCATGGAAATGTTTGTCAATTTAAAATATCTTTTCATTAAAGACACTAGAAAAGTGACATCTATGATCTGAGAGGATACTTTGTTTTTGACCTTAAAAAGAAAACTGGAAAATATCATTGTCCTAGGCACAATAGAATTATAGTCTGTTAGAATTCCTCCTGTTGAAAATAATTTGAAAATGACACTCCAGAAAAAAAAATGTTCCTAAAATATATAAATGTATTGAGACTGACTAATTATTTTAAGACTCATCCTTTTTTTTTCTTATTACACACTTACTCTGAACTGCATGTGAAAGAACAACTTTCCATGTTTCTGAAGTGACTTCTTTTACATCCACTTGGTAATGATGAATCGGGACACCTCCATGAGAATCTGGTTTATTAAAAGATACTTTAGCAAAAGTCTGTGATACATCTACAATTTTAACTCCATGTGGACTGGATGGTACATCTGGGGGGGAAATAAAAAACATATAATAATATGGTAAAATTATGCAATATATGAAACAATAAACAGTAAGTTATTTTATTACATGGTGATAACATTAACAGTATTAAATAAGCAAAACTGATCAGTACATTGAAAGTTGAAAATGGGGTCTACAGGAAAGTTAGCTTTTTTGAGCTTAAAATCCTTTGGATAGAAGTAATGAAAAACTGTATGCTAAGATTTACATATTTAGGTTCAACTTTATGTTACCAATAAATAAATAAATAAAATGCATACAATTACTTTTTATTAATGCAAACTCTTCTAAACTTAAGGATATTTTTTTAACATTTTATTTAACTTTTCCTAAATAAATGTTGCACAAATGCATTCATTTTGGTCCTTTAAATTGTATTTAAGAAAGTCAAGTAAATAAGATTTAAATCATAGAATTGTAAACTATAAAAGATTTACAGGAAAAAAATACAGTTAAATGCTAAACTGTATTTAATTTGGTATTTTTAGTATACTTTGAAAATCAAAGTATACTAAGCTCATTTTTATTGTTATAGAATGTTTTAGGATTTTTGGAAATTTTGGAAGATGAAACTGACATGAGAAAACAATGGCAATCTTCCAAAACATCTCTAAACTCAAAAGGAGATACTAAACTTGAATTAATATGCTAAAGAACTCCATTGGACAGATGGTAATTTATTGAAAGAGATCAAAGAAAGAGGGTGGAATATAGAGAAATAATGTACAATAGATGTCAACATCCAAGAAACCTTAGAAGATATTCACTACTTACAAGAATTTCTAATATTAGAAGATTAGAAGTTAAGTCAGCTCTTAAGTGATTACTAATTCTGAAATATAATCAGTGAATCTCTACAATAGGAGGAGGTCAAGTATACTACCAAATAAAAGTGTGTGCAAATTATTATTATTAAAATAATGATATTTATTTTTATTTTATTGAACTGTTATTAAAACAAGAGTCTTCAAACAATACAACTATTAAATATAAAGGACTATTCTCAATCAGTGTGAGAACTCATTTGAGCCATGTCGGCAAGATAACCAATAAACCTCTTGAAGACTCAGAAAGAACCACTCACTGCTTCATTGTTCGACTGTTGACAACTTATAGTCTTCTTCACATCTAACATGTCATTTCAACCCATTGGTTCTGGTCTTGATCCATAATGCAGTAAAATATATGTCCATTCTATTGTCTGTATGACAATTCTTTGGTATTTGAAGAAGCAATCATATATTACCTATGCCTAGATATTGTGGCATTTCCTCGTAGACATCATCATTTTAATAATCCTTTTCTTAACTTGCTCCAATTTACATAGCTGTGCTAACTATATTATGGCAGACTAATCAAAATAAATCTGTCTATGGCAAAGTATAATACACCAATTACTTGCCATGATTTTGCCATGATCTATAATACGCTAAGGCATTTCAAGTTAGCATTTGTCTTTTAGCAGTTACAACACATTGCAGGTTCATCTTTAATTTGTGGCCCACAGGGACATATAGTTCCCTTTTACATGTACTAATATCAAGCACATTATCTCATATTCTATGTCTTTGCCATATATCGGAGAGGGGGGTCAAACTCGTGGCCTGCAGGCCAGATGCATCATTTCCTGGCCCTGTCTCTGCCCAGTTTAGCAAAGAGGAAAAAGGACCTGATACACCATATGACACTGCCATGATGATACGAGTTTGACATCCCTGGCATATATTGTTACTATCTTGATAGAGATATACCACGTAACTTTTATTTTTCTCTTAAATTCAACTTCATTTATTTAAAATATTAGTCACCCATCCAAATTTATGTCACATGCAAGCTTTATAAGGGTTCCCTCAATTGCCTATCCAAGTAATTGATTAAACAAAAAAGAGGAACTTTGCATAGAGCTTATGGCAGAGACCTACAGATTTAGTACTTTTCTCTGAGATGAAGTGGAACCTTAACTAGCATGCTTTGAGTGAGATCATTTAACAAATCCATCTTATGTTGTTATCATCTAGGTCTGCTTTACTATTTTATGAAGAAAAATATTGTGTTGTACTTTTCAGGGACTTTGCTGAGGTCCAGGTATATACCACATCTATAATATTCTTCCAGTCTGTTTTTTCCTAATGTGTCAAAGAAGGAAATAGGTTTAGCCTGGCATTATCAGTTTATGACAAATGTGTGAGGCCTTCTTTTAGTCACAGTATGTCAATACACAGTGGGACGCGGTGGCTCAGTGGCTAAAACACTGAACTAGTCGATCAAAAAGATTGGCAGTTCAGTGGTTCAAATGCCTAGTGCTGCGTAATGGAGTGAACTCCTGTTACTTGTCCCAGCTCATGCCAACCTAACAGTTCGAAAGCATGTAAAAATGCAAGTAGGAAAATAAAAACCACCTTTAGTGGGAAGACAACAGTGTTCTGTGCGCCTTCGGCATTTAATCATGCTGGCCACATGACCATGAAGATGTTTTCGGACAGCGCTAGCTCTTTGGGTTTGAAACAGAGATAAGCACTGCCCTCTAGAGTTGGGAATGACTAGCACATTTACCTTTCTTTATCTTTACCTATGCCTATACAAGTTCTCACAAACATTTTTTTCACTGCCAGTTTGATGACATTAGGCAATATAGATGTTAGGCTGAAAAATCTGTAACTTACTGGCTCTTCCCCCATTTCCTTTTTTTGAAGATGGGAAGATATTTGTTCTCTTCCTGTTTTTGAAATCTCATGAATCCTTCATGAATTTCCAAAGATGGTTCTGTGCTCATTTCTATTACTTCCTGGGGCCCTGAATTCCTTTAAATTAGTCCAATTATTTAACCCCGTGAATATCATGTCCTTGCATCCTAAAATGTAATATACATGGCCTTTGAGTCTTGAATTATTTAAATTTATTATTTCTTAACTACCTTATCTTTGTCTATAAGAAAATTAAGAAAATTCTTCCTTCCCATCACCTATCATCAATTTATCACTTTTCCCCTGCAATAGATCTATACTCTCTTTATTTTCCTTTCCTTTCTAACTTACCCAACAGAACCCTTTATTTTTTGCTGTTTATCTGTCACAAGCTTCACCTTATACTAAACTTTAGCCTTTCTGACAGATTTTTTACAATTTCTGAAATCTGTTTTGAATTCTTCTTTGGTTATGTTCCTCTTCTGTTTCTTGTCCCCTTTCCTCTTCAGTAGTTTAATGAGTTCTGCATATACCATGCTATCTTTTTTATTCCTTTGGGTTTTAGTGTTCCCATGTGATGTAATTGTAATTTAACTATTCTGTTTTATAGGATTTCTCATCCTTCCTGGACATTTTTCTTCATTAGGATTTAAACTATTAAACTGAATCAACTTTTCTGGGATTTCATTAAAATATCCCTCTGAAGTGTAGCATAAAGCCCTGAAACTTCTTAGTTTCTGATACTACAGAATGAGGGGATCATGAATGAAAACAGTGTTCCCAAAGATTGCATTAGTTTTCCCATCAAGTACCCCCGGGCAACAGTATTGTCAACAGGAAATCCTTTCTATCCAAAAGCACCTTCAGTTAGCTTTGTTGGTATTTTTGACATGAATAACAGACAGGCCACAGATTAATAGATTATATGATCACTTTGTTCATGTTTGAACCAGGTTGATTGAATCAGGTTGGTGAGTTTTAGGTCCCTGGTAGCAGATAGCCTGTTCTTTCTTTTATCTTCTCAAAAATAAATTTGTCAGTAAGAAGAAGAATAAGAACTTGTTGGATCTCTGACTCTTAACAGGTCAAAATAATAAATGTTCTCCAGTGTAACTATTATATACCTCTTTGAAAACTGGCAACCTGCAGCAGAGAGGCTTTATTCATATTTCTGGACTGTCCTGATTCTCTGTGATGAACTCTTACAATAAATTCACTTTTGTTTCTCTGAACCCTTTTACAACTTTAAGCAGATTTTCAGCCCATCGATTCTGAAATTTCTGAGCAAATATGTTGATGGGTAGGTGAATGTGTTTGTAATTTAGATATTCTGAGCATGTTTGTTGGGTCAATTCCTTTTCAGTAAACTAGTACTGTGCTCTGGTATTCCAGTAATGTGCTAATTATCATCCCATAAGGTTTCAATGATGCTTCCACATAAAATTTGTCTTTCTGAATTAGGATAATTCATTACTATTTTGTTTATTTTCCATATTCTGTGCATTTTCGTAAAAACATTTGATATTCTGAATATCATCTTGGTCCTCTTGTTGTAGTATCCTGTAACACTATCTTCTTCTTGTTCGGCTATATCCATCATCAGATGTTGGTGATCATGTTGTCAATCATATTTTTTATCAACAGCTGCACAAAAAGTGCTGTTGAGTTTTACCCAAACCAGTCCCTTAGATTTTGAAGCCATTATGTTCTTCTTCTGCCTGGATCTCATTTGCCTTCAATCTTGGCAAATGCTCCTCCTCCTTGGAGGATTAAGTGAAGTATGCTGTATTTTTCTGGGTGTCACATCACATGTAAAAAATATTCTAACTTTCGCTTTTTTATGGTTTTGATGATTTTCCTTGGCTGTAATGATGTAACACCATCATGACCTCCTATTTCTTCCTTTGAATTCTGTGTTCTTGTATAATGTCTTTGGTTGCATATTTATCTCTTTTGTTCCAGATTAATTTCTTCCTGATGAGAAATTAAGGAAAGGTGTCTGCTTTTTTTTTGTAAGACATAACCATCTTTTCCTCAGGAATTATTTCTGAAACTAAGACCACTGTTGTAGAATTCAATCTCTTGTTGATCACATTATCTAAATAGCCAGTTGATGATTCATTTTCTTCTGCCATCTCATACCCGGGACTGTTCACATCTTATTCATTTTTTGCCCTATGTCTCATAGTTTCCTTATACTTTTTCACTGTTTTCATGATATTCAACCTCACATGGATCAAAAAGAAATATATATATATATGGTTGTTTGTGGCTTTGGTTGGTCTTGGAAACCTCCTGTCACATCCTGTAGATGGGCACCTGGAAGACAATACACCTTCTACAATGTCATATCAGTGTATTCACAAGCATTTTGATTTCCCTCAAGAAGGAATCACCCACCACCACAACATGCTCTTTTTTCTCAAGGTTTATCATTGGTTTCTTCAGTCCCTGGGGCTATTCATTCAATTCCATTCATATTTCAGATATGACCATGTTGAAGCACTTTCTTTTTGAAATAAGAACTAATAGGAATTATTATAGGGTCAGGTTTTCAATATCTACATTAAATTATGTGAAGACATCATCAGGAACTGAGGAGCTGAATACTGTCTACATGAGGCTGACACCTAGATCTTTCTTCGTGACAGGTGTGGTTCCCTAAAATACCTGTGTGATTTCATAATAGAAGAATAATAAATTGAAATTATATTTTAAAAAGTTGGATTGAAATGGTGGACATTAAGGGGTATACTGTCATGGATTTTATCTTTACTAACAATTAAAAGTGTGAGGATAATAAAATAAATAAGAATGCATAGTTGAAGTTCTTGATTTCAAAACATTTACTTAAAAAACTCAAAGACGTGGATATTTGAAAGACTGATTTTAATAAACTATAGAAATAGTGAGGAATATGCCCTTGAAATTTATTCTTAAAAGAAAGATATCGTGGTTGGTTTGGCCTTCTTGTAAGAAAAGTTAAGTATAATGCATTCTGCAACAATATAAATGAGGAAAAAGACATCAAAAATACAATTTGAGTGGATATACAGAACAGATTCATGAAGGAGTTGAGATTAAAGACAATGCTTATTGGAATGGAAGGATAATCTAATTACCAAGATTGTTGACAAATCTTCAGCTCAGAAATGTAGGAATTAGGTCAGGAAGGCAAAGGTGGGAAAATGAGCTAAGAAGAGCAAGAGAAGCAAAGTCCAGCAAGATTTTCTTCAAATATACTAGCAGCAAGAAGAAAACAAATGAGGTAGTGAGATCATTGCTTACTTCAAATGGAAACATCTTAACAGAGCACCAAGAGAAAGCAGAAGAATTCAATTCCTTTTTTGCTTTTCTCTTTACAGCCAGAAGAAGCAGTGATTTGATAGATCAGATTGTGAACAAATGGAACAGAGGAAGGTGCAAGTCAGTAAAAATGTGATAAGAAAAATTCTAGATAATTTGATTGTGTTCAAAACATTAGGTCCTGGGGAAATATACATTGAAATACTGAAATGGCTGAATACCAATTCCAAATGGCTGAATGTCAATTATTTTTAAAGAACCATGGAAAATTGGGAGATGCCATGAAATTGGAAAACAGGACATGTGATTCCCTTCTTCAAGAAAGGGGAAACAATCTTAATACAACAGGAAGTTTAATATAAATATTTGGAAAGTTTTTACGAAGCTTCTGGACAGTCACATCTTGAGGATGATTTAACTGATTTCCCTGTAGGTGACTAAGAGTTGTAGTAATGATGTTCCACTATTCTCTAAATCTCTGGTGGGTTTCATTATAGGTATCATAATGCCAGAGAGATGGTAGATCTATCTTTTCTGAATGGGATTATAGTACTTAGTTGGGAGGTGCTTATAAACTCAAATATTTCTTTGATTATCAAGATTGTCAATAGCCAAGAGTGCCTTTTATTAATTTTAGTTGATGTAGTAACTATATTCCTTTCTAGAATAAATTAAGTTTAAACCTTGTACACAGGTTGGTAGCCTCTAAGAATGCCTATGGCAAAGTAGTCCACATGAACCTGCCTTTTTGTGGGGTTCATGAACTTCAGCTAGGAAAAAAAAGTAGGTCTTGGGTAAACTTGCAAAAACTTTTTTTATACAAACTGCCATGCTTACTAAGATAATATAAGTGATTCAACTATAGTTGGTGTAGGTTTGTCTGATGGTGACATGGAATCAAACTTCCTCTGTAAAAACCTAGGTTTTAAAAAAAAATGTTTCAAGTTTTAAAGTTAATTTATTCCCCAAGGAGCTGAAAGGCTTAAATTTTATTACCTTTTTAAAAATTCTATAACTACATAGTTCTGAATTATTAGGCTTTTTAAAATATTTTATTAATTTCTTTTTAATTGTTTTATGAATGGATTTAAATTTGTTTTTGCCATAAACGTAAAACAGATTACAATGTTCTGAAGCATACAAAGGTATATAAACATATAAAAGTTGATTTTATAGATTGTGGATTATATTTTCTTTATTTGAAGGACACAGAAAACAGAGTGCAGAGACAAGAAAGGAGGGGAGAGAAGTGAGTACTTAGCAGTAAGTACACACTAAGTACTGTAGCTATGATCTCTCAAAATGGAAGGTTGCACTTAGTTTGATATTTAGCCTTGTTGAGAAGCTTTTAAAATCATGTTTTACATTCCTTTTATTTCAGTAAACTAAAATAGATGTTATTTTTTAAATAATTTTTTTTTTATCATCCAAGACATTTATTTTTATATAAATAAATTACTTACCAGCCAAGGCTAGGATATATTCCTGATATCTTTTCCCTATTCTATTTGTGGCTGTACAGTTGTAATGTCCAAAGTCAATGTCTGATGTGGGAGCAATCTTTATAGAAAGGAGAGAGAGGGAGAAAGAGAAAGAGGGGAAACAGAGAGGTGAGAGAAGAGAGGAGAGAAGAGGGAGGAGAGAGGAGAGAGAGAGAGAGAGGAAGAGAGAGAAGCATGCATCAGTTTTTATATAAAATTGACAGACCTGAATAACTGTACACATAATCTCTAAGTATAATACTTTTCATGTGATCAGCAACATTGCAAATAATAGGGGGTTCATTACTAACAATTGTAATCCTTACTAGAAATGTTTGAATTGAATAGAGATGTGGGACCATAGATGTGATACAAAGGTATGTGAAATAAATGATAATTGGTAAAATATAAGCCTGAATGTTTAGTAAATAATATTAATATATTTACGATGATGGGGGAAATTATCTTGAACAAAGAAAGTACAAAGTTATCACTGGAAGCTTACCTCTAATATCAATTTGTTTTCACTACTATGAGTCTTTAAATGAATTGTATTTTCTACAGGTAAAACCAATTTTCCTCTTCTCCACTGCAGAGATGCTGCTGGATTGGACAGAACATCACAACTTATGTTGATGGGATTTCCTTCCCAAGAATAATAAATTGTTTGATTTGACACAAAGATTGGCGCATCTGCAACACACATTTATAAAAGCATATTATTGCTTTGCCTTAATTTAACATTACATTGATTGGTTTAATAAAGACATGTCTATTATTTAGATTTATCAAAATACTGTTTTAGAATGTTATGCACATCCTAATAATACATGAAATATAATCAAAAGTTTCGATTACAATTTGTTCTTTGGAATTATTACTTTTATAATATAATAAAATGAATTATTTTCAGATGGACAAAATCCTATCTATAATAGTGTAAACTATTCAGATTAGCAATATTTTAACTGTGAATTAAATGAATAGCAATTAAAGCACAATTATGCATTTTCCACAATTTAAAATGTTCTGGGAGCAATTATTAATGCTCACACACACCAAAACCATGACAAGGCAGGCTGATTTGTTTTTTCCAGGAATACTTTTTCTACACCATATTTGTCTGTTATTTTGTTAAACTTTCAGAGGGCATGTAAGTATTTTGTTTATCTTCACTGTGGTCAATGACTGCTATTTTTACAGCATTTCAGATACTCATTCTTTATAGTTCAGTTATTTATATACTTAGAAATGTTGTGAATAATGGAACTGTCAGTGATGCAAAATTAAAATAAATGAAATAAAAAGTAAAATAAAATAATCAGAAGAATAAAGACAAAAGCAACCCAGAAGGAACATACACAAAGATGGAATACATATTGCGATTAATTTTCACTATCTAGTATGAATTGAATTCATCCTAGAACCAAACATTTTCAGTGCTTCTACAGGAAACATATTTGAAAATATGGAGCCAACTATGATGATGACAATATGCTTATAGTCAAGTTCAAAAATTATCAAAAATGATAATGCTAAATTTGTTTTTGTTTATGTATTGCTTAAAGGCTGTTTATAGGTTGGAAAAGCTAAATAGAAACATTTTGAAATAATTATAACACAGGATAATATAGGGATTTTGACATTTAAATTAGGTGGAAACAATGTCTATGAACAGGCTCCCCCTATACCTGTTATGTCCAATCCTCATGACTTGTTAGAGGGAAAGTGAAGTAAATAATACAACAAAAAAGCATTAATAATAATTCCACTATTTTCTTTATAGACTTTTTCTTCCTCCAACCTTCTAAAATTTGAAAAGAAAATGAAATACGTACAAAATTATGTATTAATACTTGAAGTTAATCCTGATGTAAGATATCTAAATATGCTTGAATCCAATAAATAAAATAAAATAAGGGTTTAAGTCATTGAATCAAATGTACTATACTGAATCTCCAACTTTAGCAACAAATTGAATTATTATAATTTTGGCACATAAGACACTATTATGACAGTTAAATTGCAGTGTTGTCATGGCTTCTAATATGACAAGTAGTTCAAAGTGAGTACAAAATAAGCAAGGTCAAAATAGAAATAGACGGTTCTTAATTATAGTTACAACAATAATATACCATACTATTTATTTCTAGGGTACATATTGGAAAATAGGTGGGGGGAGGGAGACAGTAATAGTATCCTCACTCTTAATCAGGAGATGAAAACCATATTTTGAACTAATTATATTCTCAAGATAACCTATTCTCAATTCAGAGCACGAATTACTGAAATTAAGCCATTCCATCCAGGAAAATTAATAACTAATAACTATGAATATGATCACTTAGGTAGCTAAAAACCCAATCATGCTGAATATATATTCTTTCCATTTTGTTTGAATTATCTTTAGATTATTGCACTGTTTCATTTCAGTTCATTACTGGTCCCAGTCATCAAGTTGACAAGATTCTTATTTCAGCTTAATAAAATATGAAGGATTCTAACCCTGTGTGGTCTACTGATTAAGGTACTGGAGTAGAAAGAGGGGGACTGTGAGTTCACGTCCCATCTCGGCCATGAAAGTCAGCAGGGTTACTTTGGGGCAGTCATTCTGTCTCAGTCCAACCCACTTTACAAGATTGTTGTGGGGAAAATAGGAGGAAGATTTGTTGAATGGGTTCACTGCCTTGAGTTGTTTGTAAATATAATAAATAAATTATATTTGGGATTCAAATAAATAAATAATTAAGACTTGAAATGCTAGTCTAGTCTACAGGTACCAAACTTAGAATCTTTTACTGAGCAGAATCATGCACCTGTCTCCAACACTATTTTCTGGATTTGGTATCTTTCAAGGGAACAAAATCATACAGAACAATCTGTTTATAAATATAAAATAGTGTAAGAAGGAAATACACAGTAATATAATAAGAAAAGTACCTTCTAAGCAAGATGAACTGACATTGAAAATGACGCTCTCAAACCCCAAATCTCTATTCAATGATATATATTCAAATTTGCCAATATGCTTTTTAAATGCAAAGTTCCAAAATGGGTACAAAGTGCTTGGAATTATCTGACCAACATGGACTAGAAAGGAGCAACAGTTATCCTTTTTTATTTATTTTGATATTATGTTTCTGTCAATACAACAATGCTTGCATTTCCTTTTTTTCCCAGCTAGATCATGTTTCAATTATAATCTGTAAGGCATTTGGATAGTTTTTCAGTATATTGTTGCCATAAGGTTTCTCTCATCACTTAAATTTTGACAACCACTTAATTTTGAAATTATTTGGGTGATTTCTCCCACTTATTATACCGTATCAAAACTTGGGATGCTGTCTTCTCCTACTCACCACCATCTGTCTCCCTTATAATGTCAGTTATAAATTATATGTCAGTTTAACCATGTTCATTAAAATATGTTGAAGAGCAGTGGATATATCACAAAACCTTGGTGTGCAACCTAGCACATCTCTCAAGTTTGATGCAGAACCACTGATGTCATACTTGTTGAGTATAACTCTTCAATTGGCTGCACATCTACCCTAATGAAATACTAGTAGAACCATTGACATTTTTTCTATTACATTTCACTGGAGTTGTCACCAAGTGTTTGTTCATTCTCATTGTTAACTAGTGACTCTATCAAAAAGTATCACATTTGCTTGACAATTATTTATTTTTGATAAATTAATTCATGCAGCTTTCTGCCAAACAACACATACTTTTATAATCTTCGGAACTTGCTACCCAGTTTAATATTTTATCTAATATTAAATCAGTTCACCAATCTGTAATTATTTTGACCCAATTTCCCCATTTTTGTAAACAAGAAAATTTGGCTTCTAGCATTGAATTCATCTTCCATGATTTTTCAAAAAGCTTGGATATCTGTAAACTCTTACTTTTGTATTAATATTGACAAAAAGTGTCTCAATATTCTAAATAGCTCTTGGAATTTTATTTTTACTACTAAATTTCACACTATTTTCTGGTCTCTTGTTTGTCTCCCTTGCAAGATTCAGTTTAAAGCCTGCAGATCAGGTTTGCAAGACACCTTCCAAACCTATTTTATAGGTCTTGTAAGATGTTGTCAGCCTTTTGCCAAGAGTTCAGTAATATATTTTACTTGGATTATTTTATTAATTGTATGTAGTATGATAAAAGATTTCTATTTACCTAAATATCATATTATAGAGGAATTGTGCAAATAATTTAAATGAAGAATTTCACAATGTGTGATAGTATCCTCAAATGTTGAAGCATCTTAATATTTGGAAGGCTTCTATAATTTCATTGAAGGATTGCCCTTGAGGTGAAGGGCAAAATAGGTTTCAAAACAGCATGATTTTAATTCACCAAGGAGGAAAGTTTCACTTAAACCATAAAATTGGTGAAACATACTTTTTTAAAAAAATGCTACCTTTAATTGGACATCTTTGTCAACTAGCATTCAGACTAGATATGAAACCAATGACATATTTTATTGTTATTGTATTGCTACCCCTGATATATGATGAAGAAAGTAGGCCATCAATCTTTTGAGAGATACATAGCTAGGTCCTTGATAACGATTGAGAAACTTCCTAAAATTAATTTTCTAACATATTAATACAAATGCAGTTTCAAACTGAATTACAAGACTTGTGTTAGATCGGCGAAAAGCAGGTGAGAGGTGTGAGTGAGTTTCAGCACTATTTTATTTCAAGAGTAAGTGACTGTGCTTTGCCGTCTGGGCTGCCGGAGCTCGCCTTTTAAGGAGCTCCGACAGACCAGCCAGCCAATGACAGTTGCTTAAACTTCCCTGGATTTGGGTAACCAATTCCCGGTGAGCATGTGAAAACATGCAAATTAAGAAGCTCTGACAGTCCAGCTGGCTAATGACAGTTGTTTAACTTCCAGGGGTTTGGGCAACCAATCCCCGGTGAGCATATGAAAACATTTAAATTTAACAATGTACTTGTTCATACGTAACACCCCTCCCTTCCTAGAATGAACAATGTCCAATCCCCAGCCTACATAGGTGATGTAGTCTTTCAGGTAGGCGGGGCACGCCTGTCTTCTACTTGACCTGCACAGATCACTTGTCCCTGGGAGCTTGGCTGGTGCAGTCGAGCCTGCTGTTCCTCCAGATGCTTGGGAAGGAATCTTCTGGAGCTCCTTGGTCCATGAGTCGAGCTCCGGCCTGGTTCCTTTGCCTCCTGAGATGCCATTTCTTTGGGGGATGGCTTCGAATGCAGCTAAATGTTTGCGGCCTGGGTTGGATGGTCATCCCTCAATCTCTTGGCTTGGTGAGGCCGGTTCCCACCCATCTGCTTCCCAGCTGGCAGTTGAGCATGCTCCGTGAGGTGGAGACCTGGGGTTCTCTGGGAGTTGTTCTGAGCTGGCGGGTGCAGTCCAATCACCCTGGTTCCCCCAGTGGTGTTGGACCTGGTTGATGTATCTCCTCCAGATTCGTCCATCCTCTAGCTCCACTCTGTACGACTTCGGCTTGGTGATGGCTATGATTCATCCCACCAACCAAATCGGGTACCCGGTGTAGTTGTGGGCGAATACCTGGTCATTTATGTTGAACTCCAGGCTTGGTCGAATAGAATCCAGGGGGTTCTCTGGAAGGTAGTCCAGGTGGTACCAGAGAAGTCTGGACCTCAGTCTTCTCCCCATCAAGAGCTCTGCTTGGTGATGTGTTACATGAAAAGGAATTGGTTGATTTTTTTCCTGCAAGCTTCCTGGTCCCATTCAGGTGAGGGTTTCTTTTCACTCGGCCTATCCATTGCTCGCTGGATTGAATGAGGCAATGAGAACATGCCAGATCCCTTGCTCTGTGAGGAATGCCTCCATCATCTTGTGGTCAGTTGTGGGCTGGTTGTCGGAGACCAGGGTGTCACGTAGGCCCTGGGTCACGAAAACTTTCCGGAGAGCTCTGATGGTGGCTTCTGCCGTGGTTGATTGCATGATAACGACCTCCAGCCATTTGGAGTAAGCATCCACCATGATTAGGAAAGTCTGCCCTGCCACTGGTCCTGCAAAGTTGATATGGATACATGACCACGGTTCCTTGGCTGCTTCCCACTCTTGCATGGGTGCCCAGGGTGGGACTGGTTGTGTCTCCTGGCAGGATCTGCAAGTGGCTACCTACTCCGTGATGTCCTTATTCATATTGGGCCACCAGATGTAGCTCCTGGCTAGTGCCTTCATCCGTACTATCCCTGGGTGACCCTTGTAGCTTCCATGGCTTGCCTCTGCATCTCTGGGGTACGATGACTCTCTCCCCCCACAACAAGCAACTCTTGATAGTTGATAGTTCTGCCTGCTTACTCTGGTAGCTCTGGAACTCCTCACTCAACTTCTCCTCACTCAGCTTCACCCCTTCAACACCCAGTTCAGAACCTTTCGCAACCTCTCATCCTTTTGTCTATGCTCGGCAATGTCCCTGGCAGTGACTGGCCTGGATGGGTCAACATCAATCAGCAATACCATGGCAGTGGGGTCGGAGTCTTCCACCAGCTCCAGTAACGGGCAATGGCTGAGTGCATCAGTGTGGCTGATGTCCTTTCCTGGGCGGTAGATCAGCTCGTAGTCATACGCCGTGAGGAAAATGGCTCATCTGGTCATCCTTAGGGACATGTACAGTGGGTTTGTTGGTTCCCAGTGAGGAACCCCAGCAGTGGTTTATGGTCTGTGACAAGTTCGAAATGTCTGCCATACATGTACTCATGGAATCTCTTGATTTCTGTGACGGCAGCCAAGGCTTTCTTGTCAATCTGGCTGTAGTTGAGTTCAGCTGGGGACAAGATCTTAGAGTAATAGGCAATGGGAGCCTCCAATCCATCCGGTAGGCAATGGCTGAGGACTGCTCTGACTCCAAAGGGGGAGGTGTCACAGGTGATCCGAACTGGCAAAGTATGGTTGAACTGGATGACCACACTGTTGGAGGATAGGAGCTCTTTTACAGCTGTGAAGGCCCCATCTTCCTTCTGTCCCCAGGTCCACGGCACCGTCTTTCCCAGGAGCTTGTTCAGTGACTCAGCAATGGTGGTCTTCTGTTGTAAAAAATACTATAAAAGTTCAATAGTCCTAAGAAGACTTGGAGCTCTCTTTTGTTCCTTGGGATAGGGACATTTCTAATGGCCTTCACTTTACTGTCAGTGGGGTGGATGCCAGACCCGTCTATGAGGTATCCCAGGAACTCTATCTGTCTCATAACGATTTTACATTTCTTTGGGTTCACTTTAAGTCCCTTCTCCTTGAACCTCCTCAAAGTCTCATGCACACATTCCATCAGCTGCTCTATGGAGTCCCCGAGATGAATACGTCATCAAAGTATGGCACCACCCGCAGGATTCCTTGAAGTAGTCCCTCCATTAAACACTGAAAGAGTCCTGGGACTACACTGACTCCAAACTGCAATCTGGTGCATTTGAAAGCGCCCCTGTGAGTCACAATCGTCTGTGCTGCCTAACATTTTCTAACAGGAAGCAGTTTTTCTTTAACTGTTACTCCTGATGATTAATGGTTGATAAATACAATTTTTGACTACAGTTATCATTATAGTGCAGTCCCAAGAGGAGCTCTTATGTTCAGTCATATCCATTCTTGGTTTTTCAGACTGATATTCTAGGTATTACAACTTTGTCTCCAAGAATATGCCACAATCAGTGAATTGCAAAGATCTATTTGGGAAAAAGTCATCTACAGTTTCCTTACTCCCACTGACTTCCAAACAACAAGGGGGTCTAGAAACTCAGGAGGCAATTCTATTGGAGAGCAATATGATAAATGTAGCAGAAATAATCTTATCACTGTTGGGAAATATCGCACCAAATTATTTTAAGAGTTATACATTCTTTTACAAAAAAATACAAAGAAAAGGGATGTGAAAATTGTAATTTATACAAAATATGGTTATGTATGCCCGCTTATACAGTGTTAGAGTAGGGTATGTAACATAATATACATGTGTATGAATTTAATAGTTTTAGGGAGAAAAATATGTCTTTAATATATACAGTATGTTTAAAGTATATATTTTAACTAACCTGTTCTGACCCAGCTTAGCAGAACCAAGAAACATAACCCCTTGTCCCGAAAAAACCCTCTTTATTTAACTACTGTGAATTCATGGCATTTCCACACAGAAAAGTCCAGGCAATAATCCTTCCAAGGGTTAACTGAAGTACAGACCTTATCAGGTCTTTGATAATTGCCAGGCCAGGAGCTTCCAGCCACAAAGCTCTAAATCAAACTCTCTCAAACAGTCTCTGAGACATGAATCACAATGAATAAATCTCCCTAAATCAAATGGTTATTTCCCATGACACCACTCCCCTTTAGCTTCTATTTATTCCCCAGACAGGGAGCGGCCACTCAGTGTCCACATGTGCCTTTCTTTCTGAGTTGACTCCTGGCACTCAATTTTCTCCTCTCCTGACAGCTCTGCGCATATGCGCTTCTGTAACAGCCTCAGTTTTTCTTCTTCCCCACTTATCTCTGACTGCGAAGGCAGCTAGGAAATGTCAGTCGGCCCTGGCTCTATCGCTGCTTCTGATGCAGGACATCCATCAGAACCTTCCCCAGACAACAGGACTGGCGCAAGTTCCTCACGAAGCTCTTGACTGTCCAAGTCTACCGCCAGCTCCGCTGGCAGCTGGCAGGCCACAACATAATCCTCTCTAATGTTGTACCATCACTTTGGTATGTACCTTTATTTACTAATTAATAAGGACATTGATTTGAATTCAGGGACACCCACCCAATACCCCATCAGCCATAAACTGCTTGCCTCCATCCATAGTCTGATACATACAATGGCACTGAATTTTAGCAGCAAAAAGGATGTACATTTTTGCAGAAATTTTTTTGCAAAAAAAAAAAAATACAGAACATTTAACAATGTTTGCTTGTTTGTTTTAAGCACAAAATCTTATTGAAAAAAATATAATGGCATTTTTGTTTTAGGATTAGAAAGGCCTCCCATTTGCTTCTACACCTTTTGGTAGCTAGTCAGAGAACTGTTTAAATGTAAGTCCATAAATACAGGAACTCTATTTATAACAGTTTGTTTAGTGACTGTTCAAAGTTACAATAGCACTGAAAAATGTGACTTATGACAGTTTTTCACACTTATGACCGTTGTGGCATCCCTGTGGTCATATGATCAAAATTCAGATGTTTGGCATATGACTCATATTTATGACCATTGCAGTGTCTTGGGGTTATGTAATCACCTTTTCTGATCTTCTGACAAACAAAGTCAATATGGAAGTCAGATTCACTTAACAATTGTGTTACTAATGTAACAACTGCAATGATTCGCTTAACAACTGTGGCAAGAAAGATGATAAAATCGGGCAAAATTAACTTAACATCTCACCTAACAACAGACATGTTGGGCTCAATTATGGTTGTGTATCAAGGACTACATGTACAACATAAACTGTAAAGTCCTTTGTTATCATTAAATTCAGAGGAAACAAAAAATCTAACATACATTCAATATCAAGATACATGCTCTTTTGATGTCCTCCAATTCTACTTGCAGCTTCACAGTCATATCTCCCCGAATCTGTCAATTTCACATCTTTAATGTGTAGTGACGATCTTCCATATTGTCCCTTGACTTCTATTCGACCATCTGGATTCTATTTGTAAAAAAGAATGTTGTTAAGATTAACAATTGTAGAATTATTACACAATATCTATTTTATAAATTATTTGTAATACAAACATAATGCATAAACTAAGTATTAGTAAAAGGAAATCCTGTAGACACGGGAAAAAAAGATTTGCCCATTGGACTTAAATTATTCCCTAAAGTATTCAAACTTTTATCAACCTGACTATATGTAGAATATGTCATTTGTTACATATTATGCTTATGATAATTTTGGTAGAATTGATTTTTACATGTGACATTATATTTATGCCATGTATCACAAATTCATATGCTATCTACCAATATGCTTTACATGAAGTAATGATAACATTTAATTATTTATATATACTTAATTATACAAATTAAAAATAATATTTTATTAAAGAACACTTTTCTGATTATATATCATAGAATTCTTGGTATTATTTTTTAAAAGTCTGGTAAATTCAAGGTGCTGGTTGTCACCTTTAAAGCCCTTCATGGCTTGTGACCAGGTTATCTGAGGGACCGTCTCTTGCCAGTCACATCTACCTGACCCATCATAGTGGGGAGGCAGAGAATGTTGCAGGTCCCATCCCTGAGGGGGATACACCTGGTGAGACGCAGAAGAAGGGCCTTCTCAGTGGTGACTCCCTCTCTCTGGAACATCATTGCCACAGAGATTAGAATGGACCCCACTCTAATTCTCTTCTGAAAGGCGCTGAAGACCTGTTTCTGCCAGTGGGCCTAAAGAACCCAGAGCGGAATGGAGCCCATTAAATGGCTCGTGTGATCTGCTGTCGCTGGGCCAGGGGTTGGGAGGTGGGGGGAGTGATTTTATTATATTGTACTATATTAATTTATTGGATCCTTTTTGTTAGTTTTTATTGTTTTAAATGTGTTTTTTTATTCTGTAAGCTGCCTTGAGTTGCCATGGGTGAACAGGCAGCAATATAAATTCAATAAACAAACAAACAAACAAACAAATAAAATTACAAGGCATTTACAAATGTAATTAGTATGTCTACATGCAGAGTCAATTTTGAACATTTTTAACAGAAATTGTTCTGTACATTTGAATATATTCACTATATGTAATTAGAAATCCACTATCACAAGAACTATTGTCTATTCCTTGGCATATTAAGGATAAAGCTTTAACAAATTACAATTATAGAACTGATTGGTCCAAGAGCAATTAACCTAGTTATTAATATCGTATACCATTGTCATGATTTTTTTTAAAAAAATGTATGTTTATCTACATCATCAGCTTTATAGACTGAAAACATTTACCATGCAAGTAATTTGGTCAAGTCAATTCCATTACAGGTAGTTCTTACTTAACAACTATAGGGACAGGCAACTCCATCACTAAGCAGAATGGTAATTAAATGAAAATTCATATGATCATGACAGACTTACAACCTCAGTTCTGCTGTAGACAATAAGTGAAACATCATGCGATCCCAGCTTGGTACAATTAAGATCCAAAACCCATTGTTTACTTAGGTTTGAAATGAAACAAAATCCAGAAAGAGTAAACACAGTAAGGTTGTTATTAATACAATAATACAATACAATAGCAGAGTTGGAAGGGACCTTGGAGGTCTTCTAGTCCAACCCCCTGCCTAGGCAGGAAACTCTATACCATTTCAGACAAATGGCTATCCAACATCTTCTTAAAGACTTCCAGTGTTGATTCACAACTTCTGGAGGCAAGCTGTTCCACTGATTAATTGTTCTGTTAGGAAATTTCTCCTCAGTTCTAAGTTGCTTCTCTCCTTGATTAGTTTCCACCCATTGCTTCTTGTTCTACCCTCAGGTGCCTTGGAGAATAGTTTGACTCCCTCTTCTTTGTGGCAACCCCTGAGATATTGGAACACTCCTATCATGTCTCCCCTAGTCCTTCTTTCTATTAAACTAGACATAGTTCTTGCAACCGTTCTTCATACGTTTTAGTCTCCAGTACCCTAATCATCTTTGTTGCTCTTCTCTGCACTCTTTCTAGAATCTCCACATTTTTTCTACATCATGGAGACCAAAACTGAATTCAGAATTCCAAGTGTGGCCTTACCAAGGCATTATAAAGTGGTATTAACACTTCACATGATCTTGATTCTATCCCTCTGTTTATGTAGCCTAGAACTGTGTTGGCTTTTTTGGCAGCTGCTGCACACTGCTGGCTCATATTTAAATGGTTGTCCACTAGGACTCCAAGATCCATCTCACAATTGCTAATATTGAGCAAGGTACCTGTTCATTTCTTTCTTCTTGCCTAAATGTAGAACCTTACTCTTTTCACCATTGCATTTCATTTTATTAGATAGTGCCCAATGTTCAAGTTTGTCAAAATCCTTCTGTATCTTTAGCCTATATTTTGGAGTGTTGGCTATTCCTGCCAGCTTGGTGTCATCTGCAAATTTGATGAGTTCCCCATTTATTCCCTCATCCAAATCATTGATGAAAATGTTGAAGAGTACTGGGCCTAAAACAGAGCCTTGGGGTATTCCACTGCATACTTCCCTCCATGTAGATGCAGTTCCATTGAGGACTATACGTTGAGTGCGGTTGGTCAGACAGTTACAAATCCATCTGGTGGTGATGCTGTCTAACCCACATTCTTCTACTTTATCTAGTAGTAGGTTATGGTCTACCTTATCAAATGCCTTACTGAAGTCCAAGTAAACTATATGGATGGCATTCCTCTGGTCCACTAATTTTATCACTTTGTAAAAGAATGCAATAAGATTAGTCTGGCATGCTCTGTTTTTGACAAACCCATGTTGGTTTTTGGCTATTACTTTGTTTACTTCTAGGTGTTTGCTAATTTGTTGCTTGATTGTCTTTTCCAGAATCTTTCCTGGCATTGAGGTCAGACTGTAAGTATATAGTTTCATCATTTTTTTTCCTTTTTTGAAGATGGGAACCACATCAGCTCTTTTCCAGTCCTCTGGCAGTTCCCCAGTGCTCCAAGATCTCTGAAAGATATAGTTCAGTGGTTCTGAGATCTCATCTGCCAGTTCCTTCAGAACCCTGGGGTGTAATCCGTCCGGTCCTGGTGATTTGAATTCGTCTAGGGTAGACAGGTACTCATTAATTGCCCTTTCTCTCCTCTCATTTAAGAAACTACAGTAACTAATCCCACTGATCTATCCATTTCCCTGTCATCCCAGCATCTTCTCTTGCTTCCCTTTCTTTCATTAGTGGCCAATATTTTTGTTCATTTTTTGCTAACCTTTAAACCATTTCTTTCCATAACAAAATGTCCCATTCTATTCTATGTACAGATTAAGCTGCTTGAAAGATTCAGGCACAGAGCAACTTGAAACCAGATAGTCAACACACAAAACAAATGTACATAAAATTCTGAACATCCTTAGGCAGAAAAACACAAATATATAAAACCTTGATAGATTGACTACATAATAATAGTTAATGCAATTTTATAAGCACTGTAATTAAAGTATAGAATCAGTTCTACAATTGATTATCTGTCGTCAGGCCAGTGTCAACTCTTAGTAACTTACAATACCTTCCAGAAAACCACTTTACACATTTATAGCTCAAAGTATTAACAAACATGCTCTATTATCATCTATGACATATTAATACATTGAATGCAATTATTATTTTGGTTTCTCTACACATTTTCTTAAAAATACAATAGATACAATAGATACAATATTGTATTTCTTAAAAATACAATAGATACAATATCTTTTGTCAAGTAAGTTTAGATTCCAGTCTTTAAACATGGATATCAACGGCATTCTTCTACTGCAATGTATCAAATTTGTAAGAATAAAATAAATTTCTACATAAGTATATTCAAATTAAAAATATTAGCAACCAAAGATCCCATTGTCCAGTCCCTTATATTAATGGGCATCTTTGTAAAAGAGGCTTGCTATTTGGTTTCTTTCAAAAGAAGTTGTAATTATGGAATCTATTCATTTTATTAAAACATCTCATTCTGGAAGTATCCTCTCTTATCATTGCACAGTTATTTCTGCTGTGATCTCTATACTGGCAATAATATCTATAAATGAATTTCCAACATTGTTGTTCTATTTTTATACTACCTATAATTCCTAAAATAAATTAATGCATTATCTGGAAAAGGTTATTAGTGCCTTCACAATGGTATTAGTGAACCATCAGAACATAGAAATATATGGTTTGCCCACCACTAATCGGCAGCAAAGACACAGAAAATTCTTTTTTATCTCTAGTGGTTTTCTAGATTTTACCACTTTAGTATAGGTGGCAGAGAGAGACTGATAAATAACAAATAATACATACATTTACAAGAACAGAAAATATAGATTGTATCTTCTTTCAGTGTTTTAGTCAAAATTTCTGACCCCAATCAGAAATTTCAGTAAGGTAATTTTAATTTTTTTTCTTCATCTCAGTAATAACTTCAATTGAAAATACATTCTTACATTTTTCCACTTCTAGTCTATTGAAATATACATAATTTTGTAACTCAATCAAAGTGATGAATGTCCTTCCGTCATCATATATGGTTGTTCAGTAGGCAGATTTTTCATTTTGACTGCAACATAAGAATAGCTCAAGAAGTAATTCGTTTTTCCTTCTTTTTTGATATAATATTCCCTGAAGATTTCAGTGGATATTAATTAGATTCTACTGGTAACTCTATTATATAGTCCACCAATAAGAATCTGCAGGAAACTATATTATTCCTGACCAAGAACAAAATTATTTCAACAGAAACAACATTTATGTATTTGATTTACTAATGAGAAACAACAAGTAAAAGATGCTAGTATTCAATTTTTATTTTCTAAAAACTTTCTTTACACATTTGTCATAACATTTTCAAATGCACTTCTTTTGGCTTAGATCTAGAGAATGCCATGTGTCACCAGCCATAATGACAGGAAATAAATTTCTATTATGTACAATACTGCCATTTCTCAAATGTAAGTTGTACATCATAAGATTGGTAGCCTTGTGGTACATGTAAGGTCCACCAAA